ACCTGGAGGGCTCTAGAACAGTACCGCGTGTTGAGGCGTCACTAGCGGCTTTTTTTGATTGTTTACTCCCTCCAGACTCGTCGAGAAGATAATTTGAACAAAAAGGGCTGTTGTGCAAAACGAGAGAGCTTCTTGTCGCAGGCCGGAGTTGTCATTGAGTACCATCCGCGTCTTAGGTATCGCCCTCTCTGCCAGCTTGAAGAGCGATGAAGGTAGTCGATGCTTGTTTCGCCCTCCCGCAGACAAAAAAGAGACTTGCCGTTGTGGACAATGCACACCAAATGGGGCTGGTCTGACCCTAGCCAGCGCTATGACAACAGGGACTCGTGTACTGACTGGTATTACGCATTACCCTTGTCCTGTGGGTGTTTTCTAATATTTACCTCTCTCGCGCGGCGGAAAGAAAGCATACGCTGCGTATCAGCAATCGCTTCTCCCTGTCCGCAACCTTGTTGATTTTCTGATAGGGCCAATTTCATTTCTGATGATTCACCGGGGCGAGGTGTCGCCCAAGCTGAAGGCCTGCCTGGGTTTTCTGAGAAAATATCCAGGAACCTGCTGATGGAGGGATGTCCCAGAAGATGGGCGAGATCTCTCTGTTCTGCGACTTCTGTCGCATCTCGTTTAACGAACCCCCACCCATGCAGTTTCCGCTCCCTGATCCCAGCTCTCAACCACGAGGCAGGGAAAAAACATCCAAAGAGAATTAACGCAGTGAGCGCACAAGTTTCAGATGTCCAACCTATTTTTTTTTTCATTCATTTGGATTTAGGTTTTTATTGTTTATTGTTTGACATTTATTGAGTTTGGCTTCTTTGGATTTTGTACCTGAAAGTTTACCTTTCAACCATCAACCATGGTATATCTGATCCCGCGCAACCAGCCGCCAACACAACTCGAACCATGCGGGTTGGGGCGTGAAGCCGCAAGTGAGCCTGAATCGAAGCTGGAGAACATTGCTCGCCAGGCACGTCTGCATGAACTCACTTTTTTGTGGCTAAATGTCGTACTAGTACATGACGGGTACATGCCCGTATTAGCTGGGTATCGCGGTATGTTAACTCTTGCTTCAGCTCCTGCTCCACACATGTAAGGATTCGAGCTTATAGTACCGAACGGATTGCGGCAGTTTTTTCATTATCCAATTTCTTGCCATTCTTCAACGCAAGACTTTAACGTAGCAATAAATCTGTTTGAGCCCAACGGCACCAAACTTGTTCCTCCACGCAGAATGCTGAAAAGCGCTGAGGAAGTACCAGCAATGAAAAGAACGACATGATCGAAACCTCACGCTCGATGTATTCTTAGCTCGAGTTTCATACGAGGCCTGTGTGTCCTCTGTGCTAATAGTAGAAGCTAGAACCTTGAAAATAACGGCTTTTAGGCGGGCGGGCTTGGCCGTACCACCGCCGTCATGAGAAGGAAACAGCCTTGTTGTCCGCGATTGAAATAATCGCGAGAATAATGAAATAATACCAGTCACAATAGAATAATATCCTCATAGTAATAAAACCAAGACACGAAACTTCGTGTCGCATCATGAGATCGTAAACAAGACTGGTTCAGTTTTTGTTATGATATTCCATACTTGACGTGTGTTTTTTTTTACTGAGGAAATCAAACACAGCGGACGAATCGTCCGTCAAAATACGCCCACGATATGGAGCTTTCTTTTCTTTTCAAAGCTCTTTTAAAAAAACCCCCTTCCCCACTTCCCCAAGAGAGACAGAAGCGATTAAAATAAATGGATTCAGAGCCAATGGGAGGATGAGTAGCGATGATAGATCGTAGGAGACTTGGCCAATGATACAATGATACTTATTCATAACGTGCAATAAGTCGTTATTTTTGCTTTTCTTCTTATTTTTTCTACTTGTGCAGATGCTTGATTGGTTTCTTTCCATTTTCGTTCTTTTGTCTTTTGATGGCTGTTGACATGGAAATCTACCTATAAGACCATTGCTTTTTTTTTTTTTTTTTCTGCCAGAGCCCCTTTTGTCTTCGCACGGAAAATAGCGTTTTGTCAGCTTTGTGCAGCTTGGGGTCTTGCTTGCTGCAATGCACGGTGATCATGATCATATTATGCTTTGTGAGATCAGAACGCTATCGCGACTTTGGCGGGGAAGTCACGCATAAGGGATTTTTTGGCCTTTTCTCGCTGGCTTTTTCCTTTTTCTCTCTTTTCTTGCTTATTTGGTGTTGTTGCTGTCGTCTTTTTTGTGAGTAATATTTTTGCTTTGCGCGCCGCTCTGCAAATTGATAACAGAAGATAAAAAGTCTGCGAATATTCTACCGAGCGAGTGGAAAACCCGAAAAAAAAGAAAGGAACCAACCTTGGGAGCTCAGTGGGCCTTTGGCGCAAGAACTTGTGGGAGAAAACAGGGTCACCCCTCCTATGACACGCCACGAGGAAAAACTCTGATTGCGCTAGGCCATCGGCTTGGGACCCCCGTCTCATTCCATTTTTTGCCCTTAGGGTTTAGACTAACCCTTAGCCGGTACCTTTTCATTATTACGTGGTGGTAGCTGCTCATCAGTGCTCACCCCTTTGCAAGTGTCGAGGGGGGGTGACAGTGGAGAACTGTCAAACGGCAACATGGGTTCGAGACGCCTAGTCCCTTTTTATATATTTGAGCAATCAGACAGATGTGAGACAGTAGCAGAACGACGGATGGGTGAATGAATTGATGGATGAGAGATCGTATCTCTGTCTCCGCGATCCCACTCCACTCGTAAATGTAAACAAACATTCAGTCTGCTCAGGGTATAATTTAGATCAGACGCATCTCACTCATCCAGTTACGCCTAGCAAACGCGTTTTATCGGTTGATCCCAGGATCTCTGAGTGGGCCATCCCAAACTGGTTCCCTCGACCCATGCCACGATCTCCCGGAAAGTATCGAGTTTGTTGACGGAAAAGAAAAAAAAAAAAAAAAAAAAAAAAAAAAAAAAAAAAAGCCAAACAGACACGTGCCGAATGTTGTCGAATAAAATTAAAACTAATCGTGCCGCGCGCACCACATGATGTGGGTGCGCCACACCGTAACGATAAAAACAGTGTAATGATAAAAATATGAATAATATGAACTTCAAAAATCAATATCTCAATACTGTGTAGCTAATCTATGATAATTAATTTATCTATATCATCTGTAGTAGCAGTATTATTCACTAAATGTTCATATATATCATTAACCTCTTGTTGAATTGATTCTGTGGTGTTTTTCTTCAAATCTTTCCTAACATGTTTAATTTCTTTATAACATTGTTTTTCAGCCTCCTCCTTCTTACATTGTATGATTTTTCTATTTGCATCTCTCACAATGAATATATCTTCTACTTGAATCTGCTGATGTGTATTTTTGATGCTATGATGTTTGACTGCAAAATAATAACTTTCAATTTCACTCTTTTTTATAGCATTGAATTCCATCTATACGAGACTGTCTTGAAAAATCTTGTGCAATCAATTGCTCAGATGAGGTGATTTGAAATTGAATATATTCTTCATATTTTACATTATTTTTTTTACTATTTGAATATGATATTATAGCTTCTCAATTGTCTTTAAAGAGAATAATTAGAAGAAAAAAATAATTGAATGATTTAATTGAAAAGAAAAAGAGTTATTTTCTTTATATATTCACAACTCAGAGCAGTCAGAGATCTTAGAATTTAATTTATTAAATATAAATCGCAGATTGAAAAAAATGTTATTATGGTTTATAAAATCAATTTGAATAATGAAGAATTGAAAGATCTTTTTATGAATGTTAATTAAATTTTATAAAAATTGATGTTTTTCATATTGCTCATGTTCATATTGAGTAGTTTGATTAGTTGCTTTTGAATGATAATGTTTATACTGCTGAAATGACATCTCATTTAGTGATTGTAGTATATGAATTGAATGTGAAGAAAATTTATACAAAATAATTTTGTGAAGATTGCAGTATTGCAGAAATTCTTCAATGAGATGAAATTTATAATTGTTAAAAAGCAGTAATTAATGATTGTTTTATTGATGTTTTTTAATAATTTTATTAAAATGTTAAATTCAAGTAAAGTTGTTACAAACCTACGGCACAACTCTGAGAGCCATTGGACAAGGAACGACTAAATGGTAGAGGGCATGCAAGCTAGACATCGGATAAGGAAAGATCCGGTTAACCAATAGGAACAATAGGTCACGTGACATAGTGGATCACCTGGATCACTCGGATCACTCGAGTGAGCGGAGTGATCACAGCTATCCTCACTCTGATAGCTATCTTGGCAAGAGCTATCCGAGCTATCCTCATGTATCTCAAGATGTATATAAACACACTCATTACCCTTAGGATCAAGGAGCTTATCTTCTTGATCACGATCAATTTCATCTTATTCATTTTCTTACTTATTACCTTTACTTATACTCAGTTACATAGTACGACTATAAGTTCACCTTAAGTATACTTCTTCACGACGCATACCTTAAGCCTCCGCCCCTACCTGTGAGCCCTACTAGGTATTCTTATTGTTTACCTTAGGCCGCCGCCGTAGCTATTGCTAGTCATCCTAGATATTCCTCTTGATGTTATATCTTAACCTGCGATAGTGGCACTACCTCCTGACTTAGTGAACAAGCTCAGCAACACTATATAAGCCCCGACCTTACCTTATACCAGTGAGAAGCTTGCTAGGTTAGAGACTCGGTAGCAAAAGTCAATCTCATCATTGATATAATCAGTATCTGACATTGTGATTGTATATTCATTCAATAAATTGCTTTATGTATATCAATCTTTAAGATGAGTTTTGAATTTCATAATAATGAAGAGATTCAATATCTCATCATTTATTGAAATACATTCAATCACAGTGATCAATTTTTAAAAATATGATGAAATTATAATTGAATTTAAATTTTTAAAAGCAGTAATAACTTATTCTCTGCATTCTTAATTTTTTTGAAAGCCAATCTCATCAAAGTTATAGATATCACAGATTTGAAATGCATATTTTAAAAATAAAATTTTCAAATAATCAAATCATATTTTGATATAATTAATATTCTTTACAACAATTCTTTTCAGATTCATTGCCTTCTGCTTCATTCTTTTATATTCATTTAAATTTTGTATATATCAATAAATTCACATTTTACTGATCACAGATGAGAAGGTTGAAAAATTGATATAATAATATTTGAAAATGAAATTCACATTATCTTAAATCTGCTCTGCAGTTGATGAGTAATTATTTCTGTTTATATAAATTATTCACTCTTTCAATGCATTCTTCTGACTCTTGCTAAGCTTCTTGTTCAGTGCAATCTTTGCATTGTGTGTTTTTCTTCCATTGATTCTCACTTGAAGACATTGATAAGAAACATTGAATTTGCATGTCAGAGGTAGGATTTTTTGTTTTTGATTGTCATTATAGACTTCAATGGCATTCTGAATATGTTTTTCAATATCATCCATCTTATTGGTCATGGTGGTGATGATATATTAATATTTGAAGGTTGATTAATGAAGAAGTTGATATTTCATTACGCTGTTTTTATCGTTACGGTGTGGCGCACCCACATCAGGTGTGGGTGCGCGCGGCACGATTAATATCTTGCTGTCGTGGCGGAGGAACGGCATGCCTGTAAAACAGGTGGTTCCTAAAAACTCGGAAACTGACCCTAACCCTAATTTTCACCATTAGCTCGGCCATTTTATCGATGAATGAATGATGGTGCAGACGATCGAGTGGAGCGCTTGGGAGGGGCAAAGGACCTGGGAGACGTAATAGCATATCAGGAAAGGGGGGAAAAATACTCCGTATGGGAAGCCACCTTAAGGGGATCAGAAAAAGCAAACTAAAACATCGAGCGTCTTGCCCTTTGTCCGACCCGACTGACTGGGACCAGCCTGGGAGGCAGCTTCCGAATCATCTGCGACCAGCTCTGGCGGCAACAGCGCGCATCAAGAGTCCCTCATGCAGTGCCCGATGCCCATTGACCTTTCTTGACTCGATGTTCCATGCTGCTTTATATCCGACATTTCATGGTGCTTATTATGCTCCAGTGTGACTATGATTATCGGCCTTGTTGATCGTTGAGCAATCGCCTCAGGATCACTCATCCTCGTACTTCTCGCCCTTCCCATTCTTCAAGTCATTCGTCACTATCATGAAATATATCCACAATACGTAATATCAGACCGGTCCCTCAAAGTCTCCTCGAATGAATTTAACCAGCCCCTCAGAGTGGCTCTTCGGAAGCGAAGTTACGATTGCCTGGTTCCCGGGAACTAGCGCTTCCTACGTATGACGCCGTCATTTTTTTGTCTCATCCAGCAGTCTCACCACAATATCGGGGGAAGCTGAAAAAAAAAAAAAGGGAGAGAGGCGGGTTTATCAGTTCATCGGCAGCCACCCATTAGCTCATACCATGAAGGCTTTTGCCTCAAACTTTCTCTCCTCTGCTGGGAACTTCTTGGTGAAAACACGAGAATCTTGGAAGTACAGCCCCAATCTCGCGATGACCACCAACCCTTCGAAGCTCGTCACAACATACAATGGTGGGTGGGTAGACTCTATTTTCTCTTATTTCGTCGCCAAACACAGATACAACGAACTTCTTCCCCTATTTCCTATGTCCTGGACTCCTGGTGAGATGGATAGATAATCCTCGCCGGATCAGGCCAAGCGCCCGCTGGCTAGGTTTCACTTTACCGCTCTTCCGCGCGGCAGAGCCGTCAACGGGCCGCTCCCGAACCCAAAAAAGGGACCCATATCCAAAATCCCACTCCCGTGAATATACTTTTTCGGGCCGCTTTCGGGATATCTACTCCTGTTTGAGGTGAATTCCCTTTTCCCTGATGCCTCTCACCTCACTTTCGAATGACAGTCCCGCTATCAACAGAAATTCGATAGCCCCAGCCAGATAAAAGCCGTTCCCCCAAAATTCAGTGAGATCACACATACTTTCAATACAAATAAAAAACCATAACGATCCCCACACTGTACTAGTTGTCTTGTCAGACGGCAGACACATGGTTCACATTATGAGCATTACTATGTATGAAAAAGAGGCGACGGAAAGTTGACTGGATCAAATGCATGAGAACAGAGTTGTCATCATTTGGCGTCCTCTACTGATGAAGCTTCAGGCTACTGAAACTACGAACCATGCAGAACTGATTGACATGTGAATCGAATTCCCCAAATGATGACCAGATGCCCTTTCGAGCTCCTGCTTGGCTTTCCTTGTTTTTAAACAAACATATGCCAGCAGAATCACTTTCACCTAAGTGGTGCCTTTTTCTTATGCCAGGGGCGTTTTCATTGAAAGCTGATCGATTCAGACGATACAAATGTTCACACCAAAGTGTTGGGGGTAGGGATTGGTTATAGAGAGCCTAGGATATCAAGTGATATGGCTTCCACCTCGCCAAAGATCTTTCACCTTTTTTAAGACTGCCACACTTTGTCAATAGATGAACTGTTACGGTTCTATACAAAAAGGCCATAGCATTGAAATCTATTGCAACTCCTAAACAGATTAAAAGCTAACAGATTGATTGCGCTTCTGTTTTCCCATGGCGTTGGTTTCTCTTTTGCCCGCATGGCTCGGCTAGAACCTCTCGGCGAATGGGGATAATACTTGTGACACTGAATGATGCCACAAAAGTGTTATATGTTTCTAGGTGGTAATGCGTCTCAAAGCAAAAAGTAATGTTAAAGTGATCTTCCCTGACAGACACATCTTGGTTTATACTATAACCACCATCCTATTTCGCTGGGGAAATTGATCAACACTTCCTCCCGCCCTTCCTCTGCTCAAACCAGTTGTTTGATCCTGTGAACATGGAGCTTATTCTCTAGCGAATGACCGTGGCGTCTGGAGTGACTTCACCAGAGGCAGGCCTGGAGGTGTTCCTGGGCGGTTTTCGTGGATTGGACTACATGATGTTATGCGGCCGCTTTATCCCCATCGTACTGGGTAACTTTGAAGTTGAGTGAGAACTGCGCGCTTTGGAACGCGATTTACCTCGGGGTAGCCGCTGGCACAAATTATGATCGGCTTGGCCACCCTACGACTGATGCCGAATGGACTTGATGGCGCTAGAACTGTTGATGTTGCTTGTTATTCCTCAAGTCTAGAAAATTAGCCCGAATATGTGGCAAGTCACAGTTGTATTTGAAATATTTGTCTAGGAAGGGTTCCTCTGATACAATCTTTGCTGGTTACTTCAAGGCTGGTTCCTTTAACGAACTGGGCAGTTGTGCGATGTATATATATTTTCGTGGGTCGACTCGGAATCTACTTTTATTTCTCCGTCCCTATATATATAAAGACAGGACGGAGTATATATGTAATTGTCTGGAAACACGCTGAAAAGCTTCCCAGGTCTATGTAGAAAATTTTCTTGGAGCTATTATTCCTGCAAGCATGCGCTTGACATATCCTGTTGCTGCATGTTATATGGCGCCTTTGCCACCAAAATTGTTCCCGAGACCCACAGCAGTTTTGATGAAACGAAATTTGTCAGCGGCTCATCGTGGAGCAATTCTGTCAGCTCCATATATGTAGTTAACACCTGAGCAATAATCTGTTATACTCCATTCACAGCCGTTGTCTGCGTGTCTCTTCAGAACTCTACTATTCCGCCTTCTTTGTTGCGGTGTCTTGGAGCAGTGATGGCCAAGACAGACGCCAGCAAGTTTTCGACCATGACGATTTTACGTCGTTCGACCTCTTAAAAACAAAGCCATATTAGGTTATTTAAACACGGTGCCGGTCCTGTTGCGAGCTGCTGGATCCCCAACCCCAGTCGTCATATAATTTGTTCTTTCTGGGGAAATAATGGTTAACCATCTCTTCATCCTTTTCAAGGGCGGGATGTTAGCGAACGACTCTTGAAGCTTATCCGTGTCCTGTGCCTGTTTATCTTGCAGGTCCTTCACACCTCCATTCCTATATCTACCTTTCAATCAAGCCGCTGCTGTTGACTTGACAAGCTTTCAACCTTGTGGCTGTATCAGTGGACAGTTGAGACAAGTAGACAGTGAATGTCCGAGGGGTGTTTTCTGCAACTTTTTCCCCTCCAGGAGGTATTGATAGATATCTCTCCCTGCTGGCTGTTATGGATTCAGGGTCTGTCCATTATCATCTGTCTTTCATGGAGCCTACCTGCACCAAAGGTAGAGAATAGTGATGATTCCTTCATCTCTTGCAGTGAAAAAAAAAAAAAAACAGATCTCACTTCTCTCCATTGAAGGAATATGTATATTGGCTCCCTGCATAAGACTACCATCCAGGCAAAGCAACAATCTTTGAAGATTAGGTCAGATGCTGTGAGGGTTGTTTGACTGTTGTCAACAGATAACAACATGTTTATAAGAGATAGATAGATCCCCTTGGAGGCCTACCGCACGCTTCTCTTGTTTCCCTTTTTGGAGAAGAGCAACTCAACTTCACCTATCCTGGACTCAAGCACGACAACAAGAACTCCATCCACATGAATATTCACTCAATTCCAGTTAGATTCTGCAGGTCTATATGCGTTTGGTCTCAAAACTTTCTGCTTTGCTTCCCTTTTTCTTTTCTATCCTGCTTTCCCACATCCATCGACGTGCATCAAACCATCACCCTGAAGCCCCAAAACCATGGCACCAAGAAAAGGGTTTGACTATGTTACCTACAACCAGCGGTAAGCTCCTGCCTCGCTTTTTATATGATGGGGGAAATGATGCTAAAGAAGACGATAGTCTCTCGTCTATTAAAATTCCTAATAAGTAAGTGGTAATCACTTCTGATTCTGTCAATATCATATACCAATAGTTGTCTTATCTTACACGTAATAGGATAAAGTGCAAAGTGTGTAAAAAGATACGGGAACAGTCTGCGTTTTCGAAACGCCAACTTGAAGAGCTTTCCAAAGGGATGCTAAAAACAGGCTGTAACGGCATCAGTGGGCAAATCTACGCCGGCTGTATGAATTGCATATCTGGCCAGGTTGTCGAGCTTACCTGCTGTGTTTGTGACACGACCATGGCTTTGGAATTCTTTAGCAAAAACCAGCGTCATGATCCGGATAATGCAGTAAGCTGACTACTTCGGATTTCTTTCTCCTTTTTTGCCTTCTGAGTCCGTTTTAGGTGCATTTATTTGGCTAGCTCTGATCGTATGGCGTTTTAGAGGTGCAAAAATTGCGTCCAGGGCCATTTAGAAAGGGAGCCCATCTCTGAGGACCTAACGGAAACAATGGAGGACGAAGCCAACCTCGCCGCTTCGACCACTTTCGGTCAGAGCCAACGAGGCGACTTCACCATCCCCTCTTTTCAAGGCCATTCTCTCGCTCATAACATGTACTGGCAAGAAGGCTCGGTTGCCGAAGCCTCCAACACCAACGACGTCGATAGTGACGAGGACAACTTTTCTGTTCCTAGTGGAGGTGTCTGGCTGGAACAGCCGAGGAGACGCCTGCTTACCGAAACTTCGCATGAAGGAGAGGGCGCTAAGTTCACTGCTTTTGACCCCCAGGGCAATCCCCATATCCGTACTGCTGAGTCACCATCCGTCACTATGCGTAGTGGATGGGAGGGTTGGGTTGTTACGGCGCAGAGCAGAGCGAGCAGCAACACAGGTCCAACAAGAGGCAAAGGCAGCCGTGGTGGTTTTGCGAAAGCCCCCGTACGAAGAATTTATTATTTCCACCTCCCCGTCCTCTTACTCCCCGGTTGTTATTCGCTTAGAATGAAGTTCTCTAATAATATCTAACAATGTATTTGTATAGGGGATGCGTTTTCCGAAAAGTGAGGCTCCGACCATGCGTCGCCCCCAGCCGACCGCGGCTACGATAGAATCCGACGACGACGATGAGGACGATGACCCGCAAAATTACATTTAGGGGAGAAACAGAGGGGCCTGCTTCACTAAGTGACACTAACCGCTTCGTGGTTGCTTGAACAAAAACAAATTACTTGCCTGACGGGAAATAAGAAGAGTAAAAAATGACAAAATAAAAAAAGAAAGGAAAAAAAGAAATAATCTCTCAAACATGGAAGTTGGCTTTTTTCTTGCTTGTACTGTATTTATTCCCAAGGAGAACGAGGCAAGTAATTCCGGATTGTCAGCGATGACCTAATTTCCAATTGTTCTATTTCCAATTGCTTCAATCAGTTCTCCCTGTTTACTTCCTCGGGCAGTTCATAAAATAAATAGTTCGTGGAATGCCATCAGATCATACTAGTATTTTACAGGCAATCATGGAGGCGGAGCATTCTGCATCTCAACAATGAATTCCTGAAACATTCCCAGGTGAAGGAAAGTACATGTACTGTACAATAGATTTCAACGAACTCAAGGTGACATATTCCCCAACATAAAAGGAAGATAAAGTATCTGATGGCTTTGGCCCCTTTTCACGCCGGGCAGCTTTCCCTTCGCACTCCCCTCCGCCTCCAATCCGTCGAATCGTTCTCCTCTCTGTCTAAGGAGCTTCGAGATGATCTGTCCTGATAGATCCGAGGTGATGGTGTCCTTAGCATTGCGCTCTCACCCTGCCTGGCAACATCTGGATCTGCTAAGTTTTGTGCATTTCTATTCTTCATTTCTTTAACTCCCCGTGAAGAAGAAAGTATTTCTCTTAAAGTTAACCAAGAACATACTATGTTCTTGAAATGTTTTCTGGAATAATACACTGTACGAACATTTGAAACTGGATATTCTAGTCGAGGTTTAACCGCTCTCTCTTTGATTGACCGCCACTCCGGTTTACTTTCAGCTAATGGATCTTCCCGAGCTTGATATAATGAGTTAGAGCTTTACTTGCCTGCTATGGCTGCTTATTTCAATATACCTTAAAGTAGCTACTCATGCCATCTATCACACCACAGCGAGAACGCATAGCATGGAGCATCCACTTATTGCTCAGTCACCCTATATCGATTGTACCAGGACGGTCTTTTATGGTGATCGCCATCTGCATAGCCCTTGGTAGCAGTAATGTTCGGGTCAGTCCGCCCCCGCTTCCGACTAATTGATGGAATACCTCCTTTCACCTTCTTGTCTCCAAGCCAAGCGTATCCTCTTGATGTTGATAGACTGATATAAGCTAGAATGTAGTCATGCCCCAGCATTCTCCAAGATCATCAACGCAAATCCGCAGCACCAGGTCAACACCCACCAAATATTCAACCCAGCATCCCAGGATCTAGGAAAATTCCATTAGAAAACACTTCAGCAATATCTTCAACGGGCAACCAGTGAAGATGATTATGATGACTACGGGAGTGCTGGTGTCTGCAAAAGTTGGTCAGGGTATTGACGAATAGACTAGCAGCAGTTGGCACCACGGTGGATGATTCTTGAGTTCTTGGGTTTCCTTCTGCCAGGTGTCTGTCTATTCCTTTGTTTCGATGAATATATTGCGGTACGCACGTTGCTTGCTTTCTCATATGTACAATTTCCGGCGAACTTTTCTTTTTTTTCCTTTGGGGTTATTTCAATTTTCCCCTTCTTCCACTTTGTAGCAATGAAAAGTTAGCGATATGACGAAATATTCCTTGATTATTATTTGCGGATAATCTCACCATATATCTCCACATCCAACCCGCATTCCCACTCATTCCCACTCATTCCCACTCATTCACACGTCAAGCCTCTTGAGCCACTTTCCTTTCTTCTGCTTCCTACCAACTAATACGCTCTTCTCCCGACATCTCTTCGCCAATATCTCCCTTACGACCTCCTCTCTCTCATACCTCTTCTCAATCCTCAAACGGTCCCTCTCCTCCCTTTCCACCCTCCTCCGCTCCCTATCTTTTTCCATCTCCCTCTCCCTTTCCGCCTTCCTTCTTCTCGCGACAACATGCCCATCCGCATTTAAATCAACATCACGATCCCCAACCCCGCCTATCCTCGCTGCGGACGCAGCTGTAAGTTCCTCTGCCTCTCGCCTCAATTTTTCCACCTCTTCCTGAGTCACCACCCACGGCACACAGAGAACCTGCAAGCGAAACCTCGTCCTCTCATCCCAGAAATGCACCTCTGTAGTCATATTGTGCAGCATTTCGTAGCGCTCGAGACAGAGCTGGAACATGCCGCGGAAGTAGGAGATGGTGCCTTTGAGCTTTGCACGGACGCCTGGGAGCAGCGGAGTGATGTTGAGCGGCTTTTTGGTGGCGGAAGTTAGGTGGGTGGGTTGGGATGGTGTGGTATTGTCCATGTTGTTGTTGTTGGTGTTGGTGTTGGTGTTGGTGTTGGTGATGGTATTGGTATTACTATGATCATCCTGCGTATTCTTCGAACACACAACCTCAAGGCAAGCGCCGGAGCTATCGTCGAGAACGAGGATCGAGCGGCGTTCCTGCTCGTCTCGCGCGACGATGATGCCGGCTGCGCAGATGAATTGGATGGGGTGGTTGAGATAGAAGCAGATGTTCTGACCTGCGGGTTTATAATTTTTGTGGTGTATATGTAAATATATGTGCAGCTATGAACAGTGCAATTTTGGAAAATGGACATACATTCGAATCCTGGCCGAAGGCGCAGGCGATGCACATCGACTGCAGCCATTTTCACCCAGGTGAAAAATGTGGGTGAGATCTTGTGGCAGAAGGCGGGATAGAATGTGAGGGGGAGAGAGTCATGATGATTAGTATCCGCCATGAGTTCATGGTGCGGGTTTGATGAAGATGCGATGTTGGTTCCAAGGTTGGTAGGCGTCTGGATGTTTGAAGGGTTCCTAGCTGCTTTTTTGCTTCATAGGGTGTTTACCCATTTACGTTTATGTATAGCTCGCTTTTTTAACCACGCAGGCCTTAATTCGATCCGTTGGAGGATCATTTTGGGGATGAATATACAAAGTTTTCCGATGTTCTTGCACGTTATTGCATTGTTGGATCTGCGTCCAAAACGCGTGGTCAGGTGACGACATTTGTGCCCAACCACTAGATATCGCCAACAATTGCTGCATCATTCGCTGGATGAGAAGGGATTCCAATGGATTCCTGGAATCGCGGGGCTGCAGGAGCATAAACGTATGATAATGCGCTCATTAGTTTCCTCAGGTTGGCACAGGATGCAGGCATGCGCGATTCATTCGCGGCATTTCCTTTTCTTTCATCGGGTTCACAGAAGCTCACTTTGATCTGGATTCCAATGGACACCGAATCCACCATGTCCATGACTTGCATGATCCCATTAGGGATTTCCAGGGTGCAGGATGCAAGGTACCGGATAACCGATACTAATGACAAACAAAGAAGCTGCTCAAGTCGAGATCTATGGATGCTAGACAATAACATACCATCAGTCTAGCGGGCATAGTTTGCTCCTATCTCTGCGATACCTTATGCCATATATTAAGATTTCTTCTGGGTTTGCTCTTCCTTTCTATGCGTGCAGCGAGCCAGCTAAGCAGTGATACACATATCCCGATATTTGATTGTGAGATGGTTGATTCAACGCTGGCCTCACCTCACCTGTACCACGTTTAATTTCCTCTGGTCGTTAACGGCTTCATATTTCAGACTGGTTTTCTCCTTTTTCCCTTCCGGCCTTCACTTTTGTCCCAATCGCTTCTCTGATTAAAAAGGACGTCCAGACCATTTCCATCTCCCAGTCTCTCTTTCCAATACATTTGGCCGTGGCCCAGTCAATCAAACCAAGTCTCACAATCTCAATTACAGAATATACCTTGCTACACACTCTCTCTCTTCGCAAAATGTCTCCCAATTCATCATCAATATCAAGATACCTCTCTGGCCTACTGCTGTTCCTCCACCTCCAGTTTATAGCCACCCTGGCGCTTCCATCCAGAAATGCGAACACCCTGGCGCAAGTGAAAATACGACAAATCCCACCAAAGCCGTCCCCATTCCCACCATTACCAAATCATACTCTGGTACGCCGAGACCCAAATGCGCCGGCAACGGTTGCAGGCTTGCCATGTCCCATCGACACAGATTGCTACTTCGCAAACACGGCTGGGAAACTGGTTTGCAAACGATCGGATATTAGTCCATCCCAGCCTGGTAAATAGGCGTCCTCGTAAGCCTCAACAACGCATTAGCAACAGAAGCAGCAGTGGCGGGATCACCACAAAGACAACAGCAAACAGAAACCTCGGCTTTCCACAATTCGGACGCCTCCCGTGTACGAGAGATGGCGCTACTTCATAACATTTTCATCTCTACGGAGGATCCTCAAAAGTATTGATTAACACTAAGAATTTAAGTTGTAATATTGTAACCGGCATTAAGTATTTCCATTTCATGTCTTAACAAGAGTTACAGCTGGGTTCTAAGGGGATTAATGCCTGTGGCACCTGAATAAACCACTACAGCTTAACTAAAGATAGCCTAAATCTCAAGGTGTTTGGGAATGAAGGTCCTTGAGAATGATAACAATATTATAGCTTAAATTCTTAGCGCTAATGAAAACTTTTGAGAGGATCCTCCGTATATCTCTACAGTATCGTTGTGGTGTTATTGGTGAAGATACGAGAGCTAGTCTTTTATTTAAAATAAAGTAGTATTCAATTTATGGGATTTTGTTTCTAGGGATTCAATCATCAAATCTATATATCATCCCATGAAAAAGCGTCATGTTCAACCCCACTATTAACCACCAAGGAAAAAGGAAAAAGAAAGCTTACCCCTAAATATCAGCCTCCATTATCCTCTTCTTCGGATTCCGCGGCAACGCAGCCTGCCTCCTCTTTTCTTCCTCCGAAATATCATCAACATTCGTCCCACGCTCCTCATCTCCCACCCCCTTTTCTTCTCCCGTCTCCTCATGCCCCGCCATCGCCACCTTCAAAATCTCCTCCTCCATCCCCTCCACAACCTCCCACTCCACCCCTGCCTCATATAACATCTTACAACCCACCGACTGCCCCACAAAAGTCCCCGGCTCCTTAACGCCAAAATACACTTTGCCAATGCCAGACTTTCTCCTCGCGCCACCTGCAGCGGAGCCCTGGGAAGCTTCAAGACCGACGGACGCGGCATGGTGATTCTCCTGGCTATTACCGAAATGACGATGCCGCACGTCTCGTCTGAGCAATGCGCGCAGCGCACGGCATGTTCCCCGATAATCGCTTCCCGCACGGCTCCATGGTGACGTAAAGAATGATATTCTTCTGCTCGCCTTCTGGGGCTTTGTATATCCCTGGCCCTGAGCTTTGCGGAGGAAGAGGAGGGGAAGGAGGCGGTGGCAAAACCTCGCCGATCCGCTCATCAGTCACGCCGTGTCTTGCGGCATATTTTGCCAGGGCGCATTGTTCGGCGTGGGTGTTTCCTGGTAGCTCCAGGGTGTAGCCGGTTGAGAGGATTGTGTCGTTGTACGTTCGTGGGCTATCTGGGGAGAGGGGTGTTCGTGAGAGGAGAATGGCGCCGACGCGGAAGTTTGTGGGTTTTGGTGGGGACTGCTGGGCTAGGGAGAGACAGGCACGGAGGTAGTGGAGGTGGGCTTGGTGGTCATTGGTGTGGGAGGTGAGCGGGGTGGGGGGTAGGGATGGGTTGGTCATCGTTGGAGGGGCATATATTTCTTCTTTCAGGTTTTGAGAGATTTGAGAGGTAGTCGATTGTAGCAGTTATTGGACATTTGGGTGGCTTGAATACCTAGTGAGTTAGTTGTGTCTTTTTATGTAGCTTGCTTCGTCTATTAGTTTTGTCTTCGCAGCAACGCAACTATATGTTGAGATCAAGATGCAATAGACGTCATTGGCCTTGGCACCAGTACAGTGAGCTAGTTAGCGGAAGAACTAATATTCCGCATTCCGAGCGCTGGCGCGTGTTAAATTGATTTAAATAAAGAGGATCCTTTGAACGACCAGAAGATCTGGATTAAAGGGGGACGAAGTCGCTATGAATTGATCGACCTGTCTCTCAAATCTGGAGGGAAATAGATACCTTGATGGTGTCCAATCGCGATACTTGAGCCGGAAAATAGACTTGCTTGCCATGGGGTCGCAAACCGATGAAGTCGTGCCGGAGGCGCCACCGTCCTCAATCAACCCATATGAAGTACTTGGAGTGGAAGAAAAGGCGACGGCAGATCAGATAAAATCAGCCTACAGGAAGCAAGCCTTGAAACACCATCCAGGTAAAATAACCTCCATGATCTCCACCCAAGCATATATGCCGGAGGCAGGAAGTCTACTAGTTAACTTTTTACTGCTACACGCATACACACGCGCACACACACTCACACACACTCACACACGCTAACCCTTTTACTTAATCCAACAGATAAAGCACCACCCGACTCAAAAGAAACCGCCCACAAAAAATTCCAAGAAGTCGCGTTCGCCTATGCCGTACTGTCCGACCCTCGCCGCAGACGCCGCTACGACACAACAGGAAACACAGCCGAATCTCTCGATCTCGACGACGATGACTTCAGCTGGGTTGATTTCTTCCGCGAGCAATTCTCCGCCGTCATCAGCGGTGAGGCTATTGACAAGATCAAATGCGAGTATCAGGGTTCTGAAGAGGAGCGGAGGGATCTGCTCGGTGCATACGAGCGGTGGAAGGGGGATTTGGACAGGGTGTATGAGGAGGTTATGTTGAGTAACGTGCTGGATGATGATGGGCGGTTTCGCGATGTTATCAATGCGGCGATTGCGGCGGGGGAGGTCAAGGATTGGCCGAAGTATTCGCGGGAGACGGAGAAGAAGCGGGCGCAGCGGGTTGCGAGGGCGAGAAGGGAGGCGGAGGAGGCAGAGGAGCTTGGGGAGGAGTTGGGGATCGGTGAGAAACTAAACGGCAAGAAGAACGAGGCGCAAACGGAAGGGGAAAAGAAAGCGAAGTATAATCGTGGCAATGATAGTCTGGATGATCTGGCTGCGATGATTCACCAGAGGCAGAAGAGCAGGGCCGCGGCTTTCCTAGATGATCTTGAAGCTAAATACGCCCCTGCTGGCCCTAAAGCTGCTGGCAAGGCGAATGGGAGAAAACGGAAAGCTGGGGAGCGGGATGAGAATGAGCCGCCCGAGGAGGCCTTTCTGGCCACCGCAAAGCGCAAGGAATCGAAGGATAAGCCCCGGGATACGGCGACGGCAGCTACGAAGACTAAAAAGCGGTCCGCCTGGCGGGGAACCTAGGGTAGGTGACAAGTGGGTTATTTCAGGGGGAAAGAGGTTGTGCGAATGTACATTACTATGATGCACTTTCTCACCGCCAATTTGTCTTTATTGCTTTCTTTCCTTTCACTTCTTATTTCTGTACTCGGCCAAAAAGGGTGCTTCAGGACATGGATGTGAGGTTTTATTTTGATTCATTGTCTTTGGCCTCGTGGGCGAGGATACATGATGTGATAGGCGCACTGGCGGTGGTTTTCTACTTTCCTCAAGGTTCCCTGCTGGTTTTGCTTTTATTTTGTTCAATCTTTTTTATTAGAGCGTCGGTGTACATAGCCTGGGTACGTTCCCATCATGGGAGGACAGGGATAGAGCTAGCTAAACAAGAATTGATGTGATAGGGCGCATTTGGAATAGTTCTTCTCGGCTTTTTGGTTTTCAATCTTCTTTTCTCTCTTTTTTCCCTTTTGCATAACAATTTCATTCGCAGTATCACTTGTCTCATAAATCAACGCTCAGAACAAAGACGATAGATAGTATTCGACCACCAACGGGGTTCTGACTGTTGCTTGATTAACCGACCACGGACTCAAGGCGCTATTATTTACAGTGCATCATCGCATCTCAATCGGCCGAGATTTCAACTCCCTAGTCGATATCCAGCCCAACCCTACGGCGGCTGACTGACTCTGCCAGTCCAAGCTCTGTTTGTGAAAAATGGGCCCGAGGAATCGCGGTTATTCACTGATATTGACCTCAGTTCAGCGCTGTTTCGTATCGACCGTCGAGATAGACGCCCTTGCGTCGGACGCCGGTTGAGGAATAGTCGGGTGTCAGTTGAGGGTCAATATGCTCCTCCAAGTGTCATTTCCCGTTCTTATGCTTCTCCCGATGCGGATCCACTCCCTGACATCGCTCCCACCCCGCCATGTGCCTCGCCCGCCTATCCTGGCCCATGAATCACTTGGTAGGTTGCTTGGCCACCGCCTGCCTAGCCTTGGCTGCCGATTCTTGATCCTGTAGGCACGGCTTGAGAGGGCTTGGGGAGCCTTGAGAGGGCTCCTAGGGCGGCTGCTCTGTCTGATGCTGGAGGGGAGAAGGGGAGGGGGGTGGTCAGTTAGTTTGGCTCTTGGAGTTGCCTTATAAGAACCATGGTCATAAATATAACCAGCATCAGCCACTTTGTCGTCCCCTCCCCTCTCTCGATTTGTAGGTAGTTCTGTTGTTCATCTTTTTGGGTGTAACTGTGGGCAACCTTCCCATACCGGCCAGCTCTCTCCACAGCTTCTGCCCACTCTCCCCGCTGTCCGATGTGTTGACAGACAACGACGACGAGGACGAGGACGAGGACGAGGACGACGGCGACGGGGGTGTTGGCCAGTTTCAGCCCCGCCTCAGCGTTCGCCCACGCCACCGCTAATAGTAACCATCTACGCCGTATAACTAACCACCAACTTAACTAACTTAACTGTTAACGTGGGGCCTTCTTAGCTAATCAGCACCGTCGCCCTGCGAGCACCGCCGCTATTCCTGCGAGTGTCTGGAGCTGTGCGAATACACTGTCGGCGGGGAGACAACGATGACGGTGGATGGTATCCAGCTTCAGGAATAATACTGTGACTGCTGCCCGTGTGCTGAATTGCCCACTGCCTGCCCTTGTACCGCGTTTCATCTGTGTTACCTCTTCTAACGGTCTCGACCACTGTCTGCTGTCACTAACTAACCCTTCCCCCAGCCATGGTATTTAGTTAGGCTGCTCCACCTCGCTGTCATATCTCGCCCACTTGCCTTCTGCAGTCCACCCCACACCTCAATCAATTCTCTGTTTCTGCATCTGCTCCTGCATCAGCTTCTCTGCTTCCTCTTTTCTCTATACAATGCCGCCCAAAAAGATGTCGCTGGAATCAGCGCTCGACGAGGAACGGCGTGAGATCATGGATATCCTCGAGGGCCGCATCAATCGTTCCCAGCAGCACCATTCCAGAGCTCGCCATTCTAGCCCTTCCCGCCCGATCAGAAGCATGCTGGGATGTTGCTCCTGACCCGGCTCTACAAAGCACAACTCCGTCGCTGGCCCCGGTGCTGGTGTTGGCGCCACCTTCCACTTCCTCCAATCGATCAGCCCCTCCAGTTCGCAGCTTGCTCGATCCTATCTCACCTTCACCTCTCCGTTTGACCCACAGCGCAGAGCCACAACCTACACAATTTGAGCATGCCGCATCTTCTCCCCCTCCCCCCTTGTCCCCTCTGCAGCCTCTGTCTCCCAAATCCCCAATATCATCCACACGTAAGGAGCTCCATGCTCGTCATTCTTCAGACCCAGCTGGTCACATTGGTCCCTTGCCGGAGCCAACCAGGAGGAAACAGGCCATTGAAAAATACCAATTTGAAATGCTGCCCAGCATTCCAAGCCAGGCCCGCCCAAAACGGGTTTCACAGGGCGGAAAGAAAACCGCCAATCACGCGACCAATGCCACACACGCCAACTCCATGGCTGCAGTCATGTCCGGACAGGAACTGGGCAGTTTGCCTGGATTCACAAGAGGGCGGGATACAATGCGGCACGGCGGGACTGTGGGGGGGTCTGCTCGCCATTCCAAGTCGCCTTCCTCCCGACTGGCGCGATCCCGCTCTCCAGGCGGAGGCCTGTTCAATACTAACTCGTTAAACCCAAAACCAGTTCCGGGAACGTTTGTCACGGATACCGGCAAAGTCATTCATCTAGATCACGCATATCGACAATTGTCTAACGCGGCGCTGTCAAGGTCTGGGGGGACGTTATCTAAGTTCCAGAAATCGTCTACGAGTCGAGAGCGCGGGGAGGATGCTGTCTCAGAATCGGGTGACAGTCGGCTCCAAGAAGACTACTATTCTGGCGAGGAGACTTTTAGTGGAGAGAATAGCAGCGACGAGGAGAATGATTATTCGAGCTCGGCAGAGGAAGATTGGAGCGCTGAAATCCAACGTGGACGACGACGCAGCAGGAAGAAATCCGATTCAGAGGAGAATGACCTCAATAAGAATGGCCCACAGAAAGTACGCAGTCTCCTTGCTGCAGCTGAGGAAGAGCGTATGTATTATTTTTGGTTCTTATTCTTATTATTTTAATCTCACGAAATAATCTTTTGCCCGTGTAAAATAGCTAGCATCCTGCTAATATATCCTGTTGATAGGCAAGAAAGTCTCGGCCACTTACAAAGTCAAATCGCTACTCGACCCAGAACCTGCTACTGGGAAAGCTGCAACAGAAAAACCCATGATCAAGAAGACCGGCGTCGTCCATCCAACTACCAGCTTCGACCACGTAGGATCAGGCCCAAATACTCCTGCCGGCTCGGATGATGAAGCGCAATACCGCGACTTCAAAAAAGCCCAGAATCTCAGCATCTACATGTCCCCAATCGACCAGTCCGTTCCAAATCGGGTAATTCGCACCATCGTCCGTGGCGAGTTCACACGGGTCCAGGAAGAAGCGAGGCAGAACAGACGCATGAGGTTACGCACCTACCTCGTCGCTACGGATCTCAGCGATGAGTCCGTCTACGCGCTGGAATGGACGATTGGCACGATTCTTCGCGATGGCGACACGCTCTATGCCGTCTATGCCATCGATGAGGAAACCTCCGGGCACGGGTCTGGGAAAGGGGGGGAGCCTGATTCCACGTCTTCGGTGCAGATCGGCGACGGGATTAAGGTGATGTTGGATACTGCTGCTGTTGTTGGGTTGCAGACGAAGAAGACAGCAGAAAACTTGACGGGGGCGTCGCCTTTGCCTTCTGCGAATACGTCGTCAACTCAGGTTAGTGGAGGAAGCGGCAGTAGCGGCGGCGGCGGCGGCGGTGGTGGTGGTGGTGGAGGAGGAGGAGGAGGAGGAGGAGGAGGAGGAGGAGGAGGAGGAGGTAGCGGTGGAACGGACAGCAAGACCGGCTCTGTTGATTCTCGTGCTGTGTCAAAATTCGAGGCGGAAAGGTTTCGGGCTATCGAGGGGATTTCGCAGACGGTTGTGCGGTTGCTGAAGAAGACTAGGCTGCAGGTTCGGGTTGCCGTGGAGGTAATCCATTGTAACAGTCCGAAGCATCTGATTACAGAAGCTGTAAGTTTACAGAATTGGCCCTTTATTTCTCCGTCGAGCGAGTCATTCCTCGTCGCCCATCTTCATGTTTTTACCTTAGCCCTTTTTGCCAATTTATCTTCGTGATGGGATTGCTGACAGAATATTTAGATTGATGGTTTGGAACCTACGCTGGTAATTCTGGGCTCAAGAGGTCGCAGCGCTCTTAAGGGGTAAGTCCATCTTATCGAATCCATTTATGTATTATGTTTTCGTTTTTCTTCTCGTTTCCTAGTTTATTTTATATTCGCCATAAAAAGCAAAGAGAGGAAAACTAGCTGACTTTTATCTCTTCCCCCCGCTTCATAAAAACCGACAGCGTCCTCCTCGGTTCCTTCTCAAACTACCTCGTTACTAAATCCTCTGTGCCTGTGATGGTCGCGCGGAAGAAGCTGAAGAAACATACTAAATTCAAACGTGCCAATGTCCGCTTGCTGAATAATCTTACGACGCCGAAGAAGTTGGTGTATGCGAAGATTGATTGATTCATAGATTGGGTGTTGGCTGCTCCTTCTACCTCCTTTTCTTGTTTATCTTACTTTATATATATATTTTTTTTTCTTCCCCATCCCTGTAGCTGTTACTCATTCCGGCTGGATATCTTTCATTTCATCACATGCATAATCGGGGTTAGGTGGGTTTGGTCCAATTTCGCTTTTTTATTCTGTTTTTTATTAGCGTTTATTCATGTACCTGGCATAACCTCCTCTTCTCACTCCCCTATTTTTCTCCAAGCGCTCCCTCTTTTGTTTCGTTTCTCTCTCTCGCTCTCCCCTATCCGATGTGATAAATGGATCTGTCGGGATAGGACAGAGATGGGCAGAATTGAGTTTTATAGTGAGTTTATGAAAGCTACAACAACTTAAGATGCAAAAATGCAAAAGATTACACCCCCTGCTATGCTGAATGAACATGGTACTTGGTTTTTATCGTCCATGGATTCTTGCATTGAATTTTTTTTTTTCCCCCAATGCATTGGCGTCGTTTGTCCTGCTCCCGCCCCTCAGATGAGCTGGATCAGCTCCCGAAGTCAAAGACCGTCGGAGGGAGTGTTAACCGTGCAAGGTGCAGTTTGTATGGACGATAATGTCACTACTGCGTCTGCGTGAGTCTTACCTGAATGAAGACCCTTGTAACAAGATATTTTTTTTGGTATGGGGAAAAAAAAAAAAAAAAAAAAAAAAAAAAAAAAAAAACCTGCTATATCTAGAAGAAGGGGTGTAATTGTAGAGAGCGACTTGGTTCTCAGTAAAATCCCTCTCTCGGAAATAAATAAACAATATAAATAAACGTCACGCCCGCATCCGCACTGTTCGGTTGTCTTTGTCTTGTTGAAGAAACAGACTAGATATGCATGTAATGTAGTTAATCCCTGTGACACCTCTTCCGTTCTTTATGGCCGCAATAGATATTTCCTTCAAAAAAAAAAACAGCTAACTGGCTGGGGTGGTCACTCACCGTCGACTATAATAGCATTCCGATGAGGCTTCCTCATGGGCTCCGTGTTAGAACCCGCTCGTCTGGGCTTTGTCTATCCGTGGTGCTAAACTGGTCTCTCAGTGAGCAAGTCAAGCCTGTCTGGCGCCGTGATTAGGTCTATGGCTGGCCTTTGTTGCACTGAGCCGTTTGTTCTCTCACCTCCACCTCCTCCCGAGTGACACAGTCGCGGATCCAAACGCGGGATGGCTTGCGATTGAGTTTGAATTGAGAGATTTCTATTCTTCTTCTTTTTTTTCTTTTCTTTTTCCGCCGGGCTGCTTAAGTACTTAAGGATGCGAGATATCAGGGAGAAATATATATAATTAAATCGATCTATTCAACCTGTTTCTTATTAAATAAAACTAGAGAAATACGCTGGAAAGGCGGTTTTAGAAATATAGTTTCTTTCTTGCCTATGCACGTTCACGTTCACGTTCACGTTCATTTGATACCATGCAGATGGTAAGTAACTTATAAGTAAACACTCCAATTTTTTTTAAGTTTCGCCTGTCGATTTCTACTCCTTTCCAATCAGCCGGGCACTGGCTAACCCCCCCAAGGCACGATGGAAGGCATTTCCGCTATGCGCTCTCGCTGCCTTCAGTACAGCTTTCCCGTTCCGCGCAAGGGAATTCATATACATCAAAGACAATGATGCTGCCGGTTTAAAAACTGTGCGCTCTCCAATCAACGAAAATGTCACCATTTCATACAAGTCCCCTCCGGCTTGGGTTTGCGAGACGGCCTCCCCGCATCAAAAACAATATACCGGCTACGTCCACCTGCCTCCGGAAACCCTGTCTCCCGTCAGGCAGAGTTACCCCATCAACACCTTCTTCTGGTTCGTGGAGGCGAGACAGAATGCACACACGGCGCCTCTGACTATATATCTAAATGGAGGCCCAGGCGAAAGTAGCATGATGGGCCTGTTTCAGGAGGTCGGCCCCTGTGAAGCTGTAGAGCTTTCGCCGGATCGTATTGGTACTCGTGCTCGGGAATGGGGTTGGGATCGAGCCTCCAATCTGCTGTTTATAGATCAACCGGTTCAAGCTGGGTTTTCGTATGACAGCCTGCGCAATGGGTCCTTGGATTTGCTATCTTCGTCTTATATATTCCCGCCGTCACCTGTGCCTTCTGGACAGGCTGGAGGCACCTTTCTGAATGGCACATTCAGTTCCCACAATGTTGGTGCGACTGCAAATTCAACTGCTACTGCAAGCAGGGCAGTTTGGCACATGCTGCAGGGCTTTTTAAGCGTATTCCCACAGTATAACCCGAGCAATGATGGGAGAGATGACTCCGCTGCCGGTATCCATCTCTTCACAGAAAGTTACGGAGGCAAGTATGGTCCAGCCTTCGCAGAGCACTGGGTAGCGCAAAATGAAGCGCTCAGGGACGGTAAACTCCCCAAGGAAAGCACACTTGAAATAAACCTGCAATCCGTCGGGATCCTCCAAGGCTGCATCGATGATCTTATCCAGGAACCATTCTACCCAATCTTCGCCCACAACAATACCTACGGTATTCAAGCAATTTCTCGCGCGGAGATGGAAGAATCGCTAGCCGCCTTTCAAAAGCCAGATGGATGCAAACAGCGAATAAGCGCCTGCCGTTCGGGGGCACGATCTCTCGATCCAAACGGGGACGGCGATGTCGACGCCGTCAATGCACTGTGCCTGGCGGCCATGTACACCTGCAACAAGGATATGTTCAGCCTGTTCCAGAAATCCAACCGGAGCGCATACGACATTTCGCAATCGCCACTATCCAGCTTTGCCCCGCTCACGCATCTCACCTACCTCAACACGGCGAGAGTCCAAGACGCCCTGGGCGTCCAGGTAAATTACACAGATTATAGGAATGTGGTTCAGTCCGCTTTCATCTCGACAGGCGACTACATGCGTACCTCGTACGTTCCGCACCTGGCCTCGCTGCTGGCGTCAGGCATTCGGGTAGCCCTCATCCACGGCGATCGGGATTATGTCTGCAACTGGATGGGTGGTGAGGCCGTTTCGTTAGCCATTGCCTCCTCGCCTATCTCCCCCGCGCCATACAGAGACAAGAAAGCCTTTAGCGATATCGCCGGATACGCACCCCTAACCGTTGCCAGCCAGGCATCTGGGCGGCGGTCATATGTTGGCGGCGCTGTGCGTCAACTCGGCAACCTATCCTTCACCCGTGTTTATGAGGCAGGCCATTTCGTGCCCGCTGCTCAACCGGAGACTGCTTTCACGCTGTTCTCTCGCATTATTGATAGTGGGAGGGACTTAGGTAGCGGCGACAAAGCCGATTTATCCACGTTTCACACGATGGGGCCCAGAAATTCCACAAAAAAGAATGTTGCACCGCCGATGGCGGAGGCAACATGCTATGTGCGGGCTGCGGAGGATACATGTTCGGAAGAGCAGAAGCAAATGTTGAAAGAAGGGAGAGGTGTGATTATTAATGGAGTTCTGTATAAGAATGAATCTGAATGGGCATGTGGCCAAAGTAACGATATGTCCCACAGGTGAAACAACGAGTGGGGTTGTCGATGGGCTTGGCGTTATATACGGAACGGATACGACCATTATTTTTATTTTTTTGATATTTTCACCGCGGTATAGGCGAATTGTTCATATAAAGCGAATTTCCGCAGACGGTCTCTTGTGTCACCCCAGTTGCATCATTCGAGGGATTCATAGGAGACGGTTCTTCCTGCTGTCTCAATAATGAAAAAAAAAAAAAAATCCATACATAGCACTGGACAAACATAACAACGGGAGTGAACGTGTACAATAGTAACATATATGTAAGATCGAGATATATGGTGCTACAGGGAAAGGGTTGAAAAGATAACAATCATTAATTTGTTCGAATGAATGATAAAAAAAAAAAAAAAAAAAAAAAAAAAAAAAAAGGAATAATAAAGAAATATAAAAAGGGAGAAAATAAAATCAGATATTCTTCGCCGCCCAACATGTCGTATAATTATGTGACAGGTGTAAGCCATATATATAATGGCAAAATGCATATAAGGAAGGACACAGCAGGGCAGAGCCCTAATTATTTGGAAACAAAAACCCCGCTCCATTCACATCAAAATAATCCTCTAACCCAAAAAGAAGACCAAGGGAAAGGAAAACATTCCAGTGACATACCAAGCTATCTCTTCAACCCCAGACGGGTCACTTCTTACACGTCAATTAAATTCGCCTCCGGGGCTGTGTTATCTCTCGCATCTTTATTTACCTTTGTCCGTCCCTTACCAGAGCGCTGATAATACTCCTCAATGACTTTCCTGGGGATACGGTTAAGTAAATCCTTGGGATAAATGCGGAGGAGGTTCCACGCCAAGTCAAGAGACTCGAAGATAGTGCGGGACTCATAAGGTGATTGGGAGATGAATGTTCGTTCGAATTTATCTAAGAATTCGAGAGAGAGCTTATCCTCGGCCGAGAGTGCTTCTTCACCGACGACAGCTTTCATGGCAGCTAGAGAATTATTGGATCAGTATTTTAAGATTCTGCTTGGCAGCTTGCACAAATTGGTGAGCAAGGGAGATCATACCAGCATCACGGCCAATAGCATATTTGGCGTATAGTTGGTTGGATACATCACCGTGGTCCTTGCGGGTACGGCCTTCACCGATGGCAGACTTCATGAGTCGAGAAAGGGAGGGCAATACATTTATTGGGGGGTAGATACCCTTGTTGTGAAGCTGGCGGTCCACGAAAATTTGGCCTTCGGTAATATAGCCGGTTAGATCGGGAATTGGGTGGGTGATATCTACATTGGTGAGTTAGCACCTGTCAGAAATGTTTCAGGAGCTTCTCCAACATGGGCTACCAACATACCGTCGTTAGGCATAGTCAAGATAGGAATTTGCGTAATAGAGCCATTACGACCCTCGACACGACCAGCTCGTTCATAAATGGTTGACAGATCAGTGTACATGTAGCCAGGATATCCACGTCTACCCGGTACCTCTTCTCTGGCGGCTGAAACCTCTCGAAGAGCATCACAATACGCAGAAAGATCAGTCAAGATGACAAGAACATGTTTCTCCAATTGATAGGCGTAATATTCTGCAGTAGTAAGAGCAAGGCGAGGAGTGATGATTCGTTCGATCCTGTGTGCTTGAAATATCAACTATTTGTTTTCCGGGAATTGTGGTGAGGAGGATCTTACGTAGGGTCATTTGCAAGGTTAAGGAATAGCGTAACACGTTCCATACTGCCATTTTCCTCGAAATCACGGGTAAAGAAACGACTTGTTTCCATGTTCACGCCCATCGCGGCGAACACAATGGAGAAATTGTCTTCATGTCCGTCGTGCACGTCTTTGGTGGGCTTGCTCACCAGACTGGCTTGACGGCAGATCTGTGCAGCAATCTCATTGTGTGGAAGACCAGCAGCAGAGAAAATAGGAATTTTCTGTCCGCGGGCAATGGAATTCATCGTGTCGATGGCTGAGATACCAGTCGAGATCATTTCTTCTGGATATACCTGGTAGGCCGCCTTAGTCTTAGGAACGTACAATGCCGGGAAGTGTGGGAACCCACTCGAGAGTATGGGTTTATTGGACTGCCATTAATATCCAGATATTCCTCCGCAAACACCTTAGGGCCTTTATCAATTGCACGTCCAGATCCATCAAAGATCCGTCCAAGCATGTCTTCCGAGACACCAAGTTTGAGACTGTGACCAGTGAACTCGACCTTGGTCTAATCTGACAATTAGCAAGCCCGGAACGCAGTAACACAAACCGCCACGGATTGGATGATTGTACCTTTTTAACATCAATACCGTGAGTGCCTTCAAAAACCTATTCCACAAGTCAATAAATGTTTCCCTTAGACGTCTCAACGCCTGATGTTCTCCGGCAATATGGCGGCGCTGTCCACTACGCACCTGGACCACAGCCCTGTCACCTAAATGACATACGAGGTCAGTATTCCCGCATCCCACGATATATGGTGTATTAAGATAGGCGGTGCATACCTCTAGCTTCCAAAACCTGGCCAGACTTCTCCGATCCATCGGGGAGTGTCAGAGATACGATCTCGTTATAGCGGGGGAATTTAACCTAGGCGGGGCGAATGAGGTGCAGATAAATCTGGTCAGCAAACCGGGATATAGATCCTAGAAGCGTCACAATAAACCAACGCTCGCACATTGTCAAGGATAACCAAAGGACCATTGATGCCTCCTATAGTGTTATATCGAATGCGAGGGTTGACGGACACCATCCTGGGGTCGCTGATTCCTGGAGCCATGGTTGTCGGTGTCTAGGATGCTGTCCAGCGGTACTATCTCGAGATGGCAAAGCTTATGGGGAGCTGGAGGGCTAGACGGGATAGGCTACACGGCTAGTGCTCTGGCTTGCTGTACGGGCGGAGGGATGTGAGAAGAGCGTTTGTTGACTGAGTGGAGTTGTATAGATGATGATGATGATGATGATGATGATGATGATGATGATGCCGTGTCCGATTGCGGCTGGCAGCTACGGCACGTGACGGTGGCTGCTGTGTTGCCCACCACCCAATCAAATCGTGCCAACAGCGCCCCAACGCTGGGGTAAGCCCTAATTGCCAGAACGTCCGTGGTCTTATCGGCTTTAGCTGTCGCAGCGATGACAAGATGACAGGAGTACTCCTCTACCATAGTGCGAAAAGTCCGCATTATTGCGGGGATTGAGGAGGGGCGCTTGAGAGTATCAATAGCCATGAATGCTGGTCAGGTTGCCGTTTTGATGCATTTCATGCTGACAATGTAACATTCTGTTGATCATATAAGTAGCTGTTTGCTTGCCTCCAGAGACGGCTGATTTGCCTCCAGACCGGATCACTTCTCATCTTCGAAACTCGGCATAAACTTCCCTTTTGTTCTGGAAGGAAAACGGTGATTAAGATGGTTGGAATTGCACTCTTGGGAGCGGGTATCTTTGCAAAAGAAGGTGAACTTGAATCAATCATCTCTGAATGTATTTTTATATACACAATGGAAATGTTAACCCAAGGCCCCACTGTGCAGCCCACGTCCCCGTTCTTGCACATAATGATAAAGCAAAGGTTCTCGCTGTGTACTCGCGTTCGCAGACCTCTGCAAACTCAGTGGTGGAGGCACTACACAGCACCAGCACGGCTGGAACCTCTGCTACCATCGATGTATATTCTGATGAGAAGCCAGGGTATGGGCTTGACGAGCTTCTCCAGCGCGCCGACATCGAAGCAGTTATTGTGGTTCTCCCCATCCTCGTCCTGCCAGCCGTCGTCCGCAAATGTCTCGCTGCAGGCAAACATGTCCTGGCCGAAAAGCCCATTGGACCGGACGTAGCAGCCGGCCGCGCCCTCATCGCCGAGTACGAAAGTACCTATGCGCCGCGCAACCTGGTGCTTTCCATCGCAGAGCAGTTCCGCTACGAAACCGCCTTGATCAGAGCGGGCGAGCTCATCGCCGGCGGCAAGATCGGCGAGCTGCATCATGTCCACGGGCGCGTCGCGACCACCATGGCTCCAGACAACAAGTTCTGCAAGACCGCATGGCGCGCGACGCCGGGATACCAGGGCGGGTTCGTCCTGGACGCCGGCGTCCATTTCGTGGCGCTGATGCGCATGGTTGCGGGACAGGAGATTGTCGAGACCACGAGCTTCACGGCGCAGTTCGCGCCACACCTGTCGCCTGTCGACACGGTGAACGCTGCGCTGAAGTTCTCGGGGGGTGCGCAGGGCACCTTTAGCATGTCCTTTGCTGCCGCAACGTTCGTTGCGGATTTCATCTTCATCGGGACCGCTGGGATGTTGACTGTCAAGCGTGCGGTGCATGAAACCACGGTTCGTGTGGATGGGCCCGATCTCAAGCCGGTATCTGAGGAAGTCTTCAAGGCAGATGGGATGATGAATGAAATCAGTGCCTTTGTACAGGCGGTTGCTGCTCGCACGGGGGATAAAGCTGCGAGTCCCCGTGAGGCTCTGGCTGACGTTGCAGTGATTGAGAGCATATGCTCTGGTGGTGGGCATGTGCAGTCTCATGGGATTGATAGCTAATTCGGTAGAATGCGGAGAACGAAGATGGAGCTGGTATATAATTTACGGGTTCCTATTTACGCAGACACGAATCATTTTTCCCTACCGATTGAAGCCTCACGGTTTCCATTCTAATTCGTTTCTTAACTATACAAGTTTTAGCCAAGCAAGTGTAAAAAATTTCTTAACGAGAATATTTGCCGCCTGGTTAAGCAATTCTCTCCCAATTAGCCATGTAACAACTCATCCAGTATACGCACAACGTTATTTTTGTGGGCTTAGTTTTCCGTGTGTTACCCAGAGAGAGTGTTTGTTAAGAATAAAGGAATGATAATTATCCTGAGTAATAACTAATTTCTAGATATGTTATAAATCGCTTTTTCCTTTCCCTCCCCTTTTTCGTTTTGATGAAAAAAAAAAAAAAAAACATACATCCATGATTTATACAGTGATTGCTTCCTTCCCGCTGTCCTTTTAGATCCAAGAGTTTTCAGATGCATCATAATTTTCAAATATCTACTCGCAGACACTTTTTCGCTTCATTTAAACAGAGATCTCTTTTTTGAGCGTAAAAACAAATCAACTAGTCTTCTCTCCTCACCTCACCACCTCCTCCCGCTGTCCCCTTCAAAACCTCAAATCCCATCCAATCTTCGGCCCTAGCTCCGGTAACGCATCCGCCACACTCTGCACGTCCTTATCGCCCCTCCCACTCAAATTCAGCACGATGTTCTCGCCTTTCTTCATCGTCTTCGCCAGCTCCACCGCGCCAAACACTGCATGTGACGACTCCAGCGCAGGGATGATACCCTCCAGCTCCGTAATGAGCCGGAAGCCTTGCAGCGCCTGTGCATCCGTCGCAGCAATGAACTGCGCGCGCGACTGGTCTTTCCAAGACGAGAGCTCTGGGCCAACACCGGGATAGTCGAGGCCTGCGGAGATGGAGTGCGTGTCTGCAATCTGGCCATCTTCGTTTTGCAAAATGTAAGTGCGCACGCCGTGCAGGACGCCCTTGGAGCCGTGCGAGAGAGTCGCGGAGTGCCGGGCCGTGTCGGTGCCGTCGCCGCCGGCTTCGACACCTAGAAGCCTGACGCTGGGGTCTTTAGTGAAGGGGTAGAACATGCCGACGGCGTTGCTGCCGCCGCCTACGCATGCGACTACGGCATCGGGTAGCCTGCCTGTTAGCTTTTGCATTTGCTCCTTGGTCTCTTCGCCGATAACGGATTGTAGGGTGCGAACGATGGTGGGGAAGGGGTGCGGTCCGATGGCTGAGCCGATTACGTAGTGTGTTGTATCAAGGTGGACGACCCAAGCGCGCAGTGCTTCGTTGACGGCGTCACGCAGGGTGCGCGAGCCAGCCTCGACGGCGACGACCTTGGCTCCGAGGAGTTTGATGCGGAATACGTTCAGGGCTTGGCGACGGACATCTTCAGCCCCCATGTAGATGACACATTCCATGCCGAATTTCGCACAGACGGTAGCTGTGGCGACGCCGTGCTGGCCAGCCCCTGTCTCTGCGATGATTCGTGTTTTGCCCAGGCGGCGTGCGAGCAAAACTTGGCCCAGTGCATTGTTGATCTTGTGGCTTCCTGTGTGGTTCAGGTCTTCGCGCTTGAGATAGATGTTGGCTCCGCCAGCATATTTGGTCAGGCGCTCCGCAAGATGCAGGCTGCTAGGCCGACTCATATATGGGTAGTATGACCGAAACTCCTCCCAGAATTTGGGGTCATTCCTAGCCTCGTTGAAACCTGCTTCGAGCTCTAAGAGGTTGTCCATGAGGGACTCTGGCACGTACTGCCCACCAAACTCGCCAAAGCGAGCAGGCATTGCGGCCTGATCTCCGGTCACATTGAGTGCTTCCAACTGATCCACCAGGCCGGCTCCAGGCTTTTTGTCATTGGCAACCACTTCATCAACCTGTGCATTCGTTGGCTCCTGGGCGTGAGCGAGAGCTTCAGTAAGACCCACTTCTCGAGTCAAAGGCTCAGGCTCTGTGTTACGTTCCACTTTCCTCCCTGTGATACTGGTACAATATTCTTCGATCTTCTGGACTCGTTGGCCAGCGGGTGCTTCGCCCAGGACCGTGATAATCTGGCTGCCGATGACCGCGCCTTCAGAGATCTCCTGCACTTTCAAAAAATGCTCTCTGGTACTTATGCCGAATCCTAGCGCAGTGGGGATGTTGCCGGAGTAGGAGTGAACCCGAGCAAGGAGCTCCGGGAGACCTTTGCTTAGTTTCCCAGTTGCACCTGTAACACCCATTCGAGAAACGACGTAAATAAAGGAATCAGGGATTTTACAGAGCAGTTTCATTCGAGAATCGGAGGTGGCGGGCGCGATCAGTTGAACATAAGATAACCTGCATCGCGGATTAGTATGACACATAAGGAATCGCCAAAAGCGATAGCTTAGATAAAATTCGACACCCTCAAGGGGGCAAAAAATAGCCAATCGATCGTGACAAAAAGAAAAAAGAAAGTCAAGCAGATACGAAGAAAAGAGAAAAAGGACTCCCCCCCCACCCCCCCCCAAAGAAAAAAAAAACCCCATGCTTACCCCTCCTTTCGGCACAGATCCCGGAACCGTATCGCTTCTTCGGGAGGAAGATCAAAACAGGATGAATCCATTTACGCCAGCCTCCCTCGCATCCCTCGAA